ATCTTTCCTCTGTAAGTTCAAGGAGTTGACAAAAGTTGGGGCCAGTCACCTTCCCACAAGACTGCACTTGTCCAGAATCCGTCCTACCATTGAACACCATCATCATCCCCCAATCTCAAAAGTCAAGGTGAGAAGATCTAGAGGACTCTTTCTGCCATCTTTCTGGGCCACTGTAATGGGATTTCCCATGAATTCCACATGAATGTCCTGGAAGATGCTCTCAAGAGCCTTAACAATGTTGAAAAGAGAGGCAAAGGCCAGGTTCTTAGAAGACCCTGCTCCAGAGGTGCACTCTCTCAAAGGTCATTCTTCAAAAAATGGTCCTCCAGTTTCTGACTGTGATGATGAAGCATGGTTACGTTGGCGAATGTGAAATCACTGACGGTCACAGAGCTGGGAAAACTGCTGCGAACCTCAGGTGCAGGTTAAACAAGTGTGGGGTGATGAGCCCCAGATTTGATGTATAACTCAGAGATTTAGAAAAATGGCAGAATAATCTGTTCCTGTCCACCAGTCTGGTTTCATTGTATGGACAAACTCAGCTGGCATCATGGACCATGAAGAAGCAAGGTGAAGATACACAGGAGGGAAAATCCTGGGATTTCTTTTCCAGGGATGGAATACACATGTACAAATAAAATAAAAAGAGCAAAAAAACAACAGAAAATCTAGATGAGAAACTGTCGCAGAGTGGGGGAGGGTGGTAATGTCTGATGATCACAGAGACTGGATGTTTCCTCCCCTCCACAAGGAAAAGAAGGTGAGGTCCTCGAGCTCCTTGAAGACAAAGGAGCAGAGGCGCCAAGAGAATCACTCCAAGTCGGGTGTGGGCATTCCAGTCCCTGGTTGGACATCCACTCAGTATGAACTTGGCAGATCTGCCTCTTGGCCACCTAAGTTGGCGGGGAAAGAGGTAGAGAGAAACTGTATGGCGGGGGCTTCCAGGTGACAGAAGGACTGTTCTACCTACTCCAAGGGGAAGATGGAGCCCACACATTCCTGCCAGTGCACAATGCAGGGATGAGGAGACTGAGGTCTACGGTCTCACTAGGACCACCTTATGTGGGGACTACGAAGGGCCTGAACTGGGGCGACTGGATATAAATGCTACCCACTGAGGGCAAGCCAGAATTGCCGGACAATCTCAGGAAAGACTACTAACGTCCTGGGAGCAGCGTTGGAGAAAGTCCGTGGTCCGGAGGGCATGCAGAGACTGTCGCTTGGGGACAAAAATAATTACGGCTCCCCAAGAAGAGGGCAGCAACTTCACCAGCAGCAGAATTCTGCCTGCTCTATTGGCCCCAGTCCTAGAGGCTCAGGCAAAGGAAGGAGGGGAGGAGAGGAAGAAGTCATTAGGCCCCCATCTCTCTTCAATCTTCTTCCTTTTTTGTTCTTCTATTTTTTTAAATTTTTTTTTTTTTGAAAGAGAGAGTGTGCATGTGGGGTGGGGGCGTGGTAGAGGGGACAGGCAGAGAAATGCGGGGCCCAATCTCACAACTTTGTGATCATGACCTGAGCCAAAATAAGAGTTGGATGCTTAACTGACTGAGCCACCCAGCCTTCAGTCTTCTAAAGCCACTTGCTCTGGGGCATGTGGGTGAAAAAGAGCTTTGAGCAGAATTTGAAAGACAAGTTTAAAAAGAAACAAGACCAAAACTAAAAGAAAACCTATGGAATGGGAAAAGATCTTTGCAAATGTTTTATCAGATAAAGGATTGGTATCCAAAATCTATAAAGAATTGATCAAACTCAACACCCAAAAACCACAAAATCCAGTCAAGAAATGGACAGAAGACATGAACAGACACTTCTCCAAAGAAGACATCCAAATGGCCAACAGACTCTTGAAAAAAATGCTTAACATCACTCAGCCTCAGGGAAATACAAACCAAAACCACAGTGAGATACCACCTCACACCTGTCAGAATGGCTAAAATTAACAAGTCAGGAAACGACAGATGTTGGCGGGGATGCAGAGAAAGGGGAACCCTCTTACGTTGTTGGTGAGAATGCAAACTGGTACAGCCACTCTGGAAAACAGTATGGAGATTCCTCAAAGAGTTAAAAATAGAATGACCCTATGACCCAGCAATTGCATTACTAGGTATTTATTCAAAGGATAAAAACATAGTGATTCGAAGGGGCACTTGCACCCCAATATTTAGGGCAGCAATGTCCACAGTAACCAAACTATGGAAAGAGCCCAGATGTCCATCAATAGATGAATGGATAAAGAAGATGTGGGGTGTGTGTGTGTGTGTGTGTGTGTGTGTGTGTGTGTGTATATCTCATATATATATATATAATGGAATATTACTCAGCCACCAAAATAATGAAATCTTGCCATTTTAGTGATGTAGATGGAACTAGAGGGTATTATGCTAAGTGAAAAAGTCAGAGAAAGACAAATACCATATGATTTCACTCATGTGGAATTTAAGAAACAAAACAAATGAACATAGGGGAAGGGAAGGAAAGACAAAATAAAATAAAAACAGAGAGGGAGGCAAACCATAAGAGACTCTTAACTCTAGGAAACAAACAGGGTTGTTGGAGGGGAGGTCGGTGGGGAGGATGGGGTAACTGGGTGATGGGCATTAAGGAGGGCACGTGATGGAATGAGCACTGGGTGTTACAGGCAACTGATGAATCACTAAATTCTACCCCTGAAACTAATAATACACTATATGTTAATTGAATTTAAATTAAAAAAAAAAAACAAGACCATCATAAGCGTTAACATAAAACTGTTCTAATAATGGACCATGACTGACAAGTTATGTATTCTGGCCAAGGTATCAGGAAGTGAGTCTCGACTCAGCCGGAAAAATGGGGATGGGAAGGTTCAACATCACACAGTTGGAGGCAGTTACTGAAACCACCATGAAGCCACTTCACAGGTGTGCCCCAGTGACAGATACGTCAACACACTGGTTCAGCGGGCTCTTCTATGCTCAGAGACCCCCAAGGACCATATCCTAACACAGACAAGGCTGGAGCTGAGTGTCTGCACGATAGGCCTCTGTGGGCTACACGACATCTTCTGAGATGGTGTTCTGGACAACGAAGTTCTAAATCCTTCCTGGTTTCTTCACCTGTAGGTGACATGCCTTGATTTTATCCATCTGCTGTCCCAAAAGACACCACGAACACATGCTGTGAAATCACACAGACCTGGGTTCAGCTCTGGCTCTGCCACTCACTAGCTACAGGCTTTGAGGATGTCACTCGTAACCTCTTTAAGCCAAGCTTTTGTCATCTGTAAATTCAGGCTATTATAAATTCCCACTTCAGTTGTGAATGCTGGAGCTGCTTCACATAAAAGCCCTTTTACTTATTTATTCAACAAGTATTTACTGAATAATCTATGCCTTAAGGTATAAAGAGGATGGGGTAGGTGCAGGGGGACAAATGAGGCAGAAGGCAGGACAATGCGTAGACGGCAGAGTGGCCAGGTATCACCTCCAGGCCACATGGGATGAAGCTGAGCTACATAAAGTCCACATCCCCTAGAGCCCTTTCTGCTGAGCAGGACTCTGTGCAAGTCCCTGCTGATGCTCTGTTGGTGAGCACAGGCCTGGGGCCCAGCTACTTCCAGAAACCACGAGGAGCCTGTCCCTGCCACCCACCAGCCAGCACAACTGACGCTCTACCAGAAGAAAATGATGTTCCTTGGAATGGGAATTTGCATCTCCCCACCTATCCTTGGAAACCCCACACCAACCCCCACCACGCCCCAGCTAGGTGCGTTCCTTACGTCATTCAGCCCAGATCTCATCCCCATGGAGGAGGGCCCATCCCCCAGGGCAAAGAGATCCTCCAAGGACCCCCCTCTCAGAGCAGGGGTTAGGGCTGACCAGCTGACAGCAGCCATGGAGACCTCCCGAAGCAGTGTGTCCACCCCTCGGACAGGCCCAGCAGGTGAGAGGTCGAGTTCAGACATGGCACGACACGACACACCCATGAGGCATCAACAGTAGCCACCTGCCCCAATACTGTTCACACAGCCAGGAAAACCAAGCTCTCACCGCGTAGCAGGGCAAAGGCAAGGAACAGGCCCCCAGCGGACCACATGTGCAAACTTACCTGTTCCACTGGGCTGTTACCTTCCTCACTGTCCCCCCTCCTCCCGACCCTGACCACCGGAGTCGTTGCTAATAGGCATCTTTTCAACAAGCAACCTTGCGCAGGAAAGGTGGTGTCATCTGAGGCCCAAACTGCTTTACCTGTTCTGGGAAAACTGGAGGCAGGTGCAGCCTAATGAGTCTGGGAGGCTGCCGGGGTCTGTGGCAGCTTCTGAGCTGGTATTTACAAACAGGAGAGAGCGCAAAAGATTCCAGGGCGAGACGTTGCCTGAGGCGGCTGAGGATTCGGACCAGCCGTCTCCAGACCAATACTTAATTGAATAGCAAACCACCAGCACATGCTAATGTGCTAATTAGCCACCCAATTGGAGTTAATTAAAAACTAATCAGGATGTCAAAATGTAGCCTCTCATTAATATATCACGTGTTTTCTTGTTTCTTTTTTTGAGCTAGGAAAAGTGTTGCTTCTTCTAAGAAAAGTAAGAGATAAGGATTCGGCATTTTTCCCTGGGAACGGTACAATTTAAATATGTGCTGTGGCTAAGTGTTCTCTCTCCCACAGATAAGGCCCAGCTTGATGATTAACTGAAGTGCTAGCTGGGTGAATCAAATCAGCGTTGTTTGATTAAGCCCTCCTCCAGAGAAGCAGCCCCATCTCCGGCACTCCCTCCTCGGTGTCTAGCAGACATTGGCCGGCATGGTTGAATCTACATTCCTGGAGTGACTTTTTAGGTGTCAAAAAGTTGGCATCCTCAAGTCTACACAGGCCTTGAGCTGCCTCAAAACCGGGAGGAAAACAAAGCCAGAAGCGCACACCCAGCACCCTGGGCTTAACTGTATTAAAGTCAACAGTAGGTAACAGGTGGGCATTTCTAACGAAGAAAAGGCAGCTTCATGACAAGGGCTCTGACTCACCTTCTGCAGACAGTCCCTGGATGTTTATTCCCTTCGCTGCCAGGAAATTCAAGCAGGCATCTATGTTTTCAATCTAGGGGGAAAAAAAAAAACAACGACATACACTCAATCAATTTTCAGCCTTCTCCAGAGCCATCTTTTATCAGGAACAAAGGGTGATGTCAGAGAGAGGGTTCACTGTGCATTTCTTAAGGTTCGCAACGAGGAGAACGACGTGCAAGCAGCAGATGGATGGATGGATGGGTGCAGGTCAGGACTCTTTGTCTGTACTTGCACAAGAACAAGTTACCTAATATCCCAACCACACAGTTCCAGAAGTCGAGGCCCTGGCTTGCTCATGGCTGCCAAAAATAACTAGAGTGGAATGAGAGAGCCTATGTGCAGCACTGTCACTAGAGCTACCCTGAAAATTTGAGCAGCTGGGCACGAAGGGGACAGTAGACCCACCCGTCCACCAGCAGCTGGGAGAGATTTCCAGCACCAAGGGGGCACGCCGTCCAATATGAAAACAGTGAATGGGAGTTTCAGCGGGGCCCTGGGCCGAGCTTACTCACAAAAGTCTCAGGATGGCAGGCATTGCCGATGATGAGGGAGGGCTGCAACCTCAGTGAGCCCCTCTGTCCTTTGTGTTCTCTGTGACAAGAAGGAACCCACCTGCCAGAGTCTGGGAGGCCTCCCAGGCTTGCCAGGCTGATGCCACGGCCAAGGGCAAGCAAACATCCAGCCCTCAGGAAAGAACAATTAGGTCATTCCCAAAGGTCTGATTTGACTTCACTTGTCAGGGCTAATGATTTTTTGGTCTACAGGAAAATGTTCAGGCTCAATTAATGTCAATGGTGACCATAAATAAAAGAAACTGCTTTTGACTTGGCACAAGGATCTTTGAATTTCACACAGTTTGCATTTCACAGTGGAAGACCTCCCCCCCACCCCACCCCACCCCCGACTTCCTACGCTCCTATGCTCCGTCAGCATTCTTATACATTCAAACGGGTGTTTAACCCATAGGGTTTATCTTGAATAAATGACTGTTTTTCACAGTGTCCATGTGACCGTTCTCCACCCCCCCACCCCAAGCGATCTTTCTGAAGGCGACTTCATAGCCACGGAGTGAGGCATCTACAGTGTAAGAGCTCTAATTTGAGTAGAGTCTGGCTCCAAGGCAGTCTTCCTGAAATGCATGTCCTTCTTCCCCCATGTCTGGCATTTTCCTTCTCTGTTCTCAGTCTTCAGACCTTCCAAACACGAATTTAAGCTACGGGGGCAGCTGAATAAAACTGTACTGGTTCTCAGACTCCACTCCACCCTGAGCCTGAGGCTGTTCCTTCCTTGCACTTTTTAGCATGGGTTCCCATCTCTCTCCCAGCCTCCAGTTCACCCTCAAAGATCCTCGTCTGGGAGACTTTTTTTTTTTTTTTCCATCTCTAGGAAAAGGGGCAAAATGCAATTTCCTGCAAACTAAATAAATGCTGATGTTATGGGTTATGCCTGCCACCATTGCAGAAGATCATTTCTTATAAAAGGGGAGGAAAAGAGAGATTGCTTTTAACTCTTCCTTCCTTCCAAGCCAGGACTGACGATGACAAGCAGGTGCCACCATCATGGAGGGCGGGGGCGGGCAGCGGTGAGACAGAAGGAAGAGAATGGCGGGGAGGGGCCCTGTGGAAGGTGTTTTGAAGCAATCTGCTTACATTTTAAGTAATCAAAATTAGATCTCTAACTGCTATTTCCCCCTGTTACAAAACCCTGCTTTTGAGAAAAACAGTTTGAGTCCTTATTTCCGCAACTGTACACAATGATAATGTACCAAAACCACACAAAAGGATCTGCTGCCCCCACGGAGAGGCACTAATATTTAAATCATGACAAAATTATAAAATTCTTCGACCCCTTTTTCCTTTGAAAAGTCCTATCCTGCTTTTCCAGTGTATCTTGCACATGGCTGATAAGTGAGGTTTTGGCAATTATGGCCCCGTGAGAATTGAGATAAAGAAAAAGCCAACTGCCAGGAATCTGTTAATGTAAAATCAGAAATAGCACACTTGGTATCTACCCTGGCAAGCATCATGGAGGTGTGCTGACGTGGGTAGGTTAAGTTTTTTCAACAACAGAGCAGTAGCGTAGCATTGATTAAAAAAAAAAAAAAAAAGACACCCACCAACATAATCAAGAAAAGCACTGCTTGTTGTACTACAACATTGTAATTCTATAGCTATTTCCTTCCAAGGAGCATAAAACACATTTACCTGGCACACTCATGGAGCATTCAATGTATACAGTATCATTTAAAGTACATGGGAATTTCTTCCTGCAAGGCTAGCCCTTGGTTCATTTCAATTCAGCCATCTACTGGGCTTTGTTTTAACGTTAAATTCTACTAAAGGAATGAATAATTATAAATAGGTTACCTGGATGACTTCTTCCTCCTGTTGCTTTTTTATTTTTTTAATCTTTTTTTTTTTTTTTGACAGAGAGAGACACAGCGAGAGAGGGAACACAAGCAGGGGGAGTGGGAGAGAGAGAAGCAGGCTTCCTGCCGAGCAGGGAGCCCCATGCGGGGCTCGATCCCAGGGTCCTGGGATCATGACCTGAGCCGAAGGGGAGCCACCCAGGTGCCCCTCCTGTTGCTTTTTAAAATCCCTATCATTCTTTCAAAGAATTTCAAGATCAGTTCTCCACAGGGCAGGGACAGTGCAGGAGAAGGGGTAATAATGTTGCCACCCCCAAGGGACATCTGGCAACACTCTGTGTTCTCACAATGTGGGGGATGCCACCAAAATCTAGTGGGTAGAGGCCAAGGATGCTGCTGAACATCCTACAGTGCATATAACGTTGAAAAATCCCACCTAAAGGGTCAATAGTACCAAGCCTGAGAAACCTGTGATTCTTTTTATCAATCAGTATAATTGTGTAGATGCCTGCTGTGTTGCATACACTGTGCTGGATTCTTCTGACCATGTTGGAGCAGAGTCCTCCACCCTGTGCAGGAGCCCACACTTCCATAACACTTCTCTTTTGGGTCCACACACCCCAACTCCCAGCCATGTCAGGGAGAATCAGAGCACACAGGACAAAGGAAACATCGGGACCTTCCTTCGTTAGGTGGAGAGAGAAGGCCTAGGGGCACCAAGAATGCTTTCTCCTAAAGAGGAGATAAAGCAGGGAGCAGTATCTGGATGGTTGGGTTGCACTCCCGGAGTATGTTAAAACTAAAAATAAGAACTTGGGTCATCATTTAAAAGACAATTCATAAGCCCATCAAGCGCCTTGAATTTTGTTCCCTCTACTATGATTTCTCTGCTTAAAGGAGTTCAAAAAACATTCCTCAAGCCTCAAATCCACTCTTTAATAATGTTCCGTTAAGGTTAAAAATCACTCCTGACACGGCTGCTGAGACCCACGCTCTTTTCATCTGCACCCCGGGAAGAGAGCAGGGCTGGGAAGCAGAATAGGGTCAGATGTGGATTCCAACCTCCTGGCTTCACTTGGAATGAGATCAGAAGGGGAGAAAGTTTCTTTGATCCAGCCTCTCTTGTGACTGAAATTCACCTTAAGGTTTTCTTCCAAGTACCATACAGGTAAACAACCAGTCCATCCCCCTGCACTGCTGAAACTGCAAACTGCCACCACACTGGGTGAGGGGACTGGCCCGGGCACTCATTATAGCACAAGGATGTCCTCGTGCCCGTTGTTAATGAGCCCTGTGGCTCATGTGCTATCCAGACACACAGTGCAAGAGGCGGATCTGATTAAAGCTGGGAATGCAGAGTGATGGGAAAGGCAAAGTATGTAAATACGACCAAAGTCGTTCATTAACACATAGCAGCCAATATAAACTACTTTCCAAAATTAGCTGGCAAAAATCTGTGCAAAGCCTGACATTCCAGTGTTGCCGAGGGGGGCGGGAGCCGCACTTCGCGCCAGGGGAGAAGGCAGTTGGAGTTGTTGCTGCCATAGGAATGGGTCTGAGAGCTCTGGGAAGGAGTTCCTGGAGTTTTAGCTGGGCTGGAGGTAGAAAGCCCAGAAGTGGGACCAGAACGTGGGTTGGAGACCCTGGGAGCAGGACGGGGCTGGCTGCAGGTGTGCGTGGAGTCAGGGGACAAACGAAGACCAAGACGCACTTGTGCAGCCTTCCCTTTGTTTGGGGCCATCCACCATGTGCCATCCGTGATGATCCAGGAGAGAAAGGCTACAGTGGAGGCTCCCTCCCAGTCTCAGCCGGGAACTCCATCACAAAGTTGGATAGTTGCCTCAACAATCTCTGAACGTGAGACTTGCAGGGCAACTTCTGCGGACTGTGTATGTTGTAGTCTTTGCTTCCTGAGTCCAAGAGCACATCTCCACTCAGGATAACCAGGGAGCAAGGAAAATCAAAACAAATGCCAAACAACTGGAAAGAGAAGGGGGAGGGATGGGAGGCAAATGGAAAACTTCACATTTCAACCATGATTAAGGCTGGACTGGGTCTCATGATAAAGTAAAATATGCAAACCTCGGAAGAACGCTGTATATCTCCTCTGTAGCTTAGAGACTGATCAAATACCATCTGTTGTGGCAGTTGTCATGGCAGCATTTTTCTCTGAATACCAGGGTAGCTGAGTGCAAAGCGCATGAAAATGATTAATGCAAATGAAGACCATCTCTCTGGGCACTACCTGGCCCAAGGGGAAGATGGGGCTCCGGGCATGCAGGTAAACGGGGCACTAGTTTTCATGAGTTAAGAGTTTCTGACTGGGCCCCTTGGAGATCTGCATCCTGGGAGGAGAGGCAAACAGCTGCTGCATTAAAGTCAGGCATGCTTACAGCCATTTTTTAAAAGTCATGAAATACCCAGAGCCTAGGGAATGGTAGACCCGGACCCCAGACAAGGCTGAGTAAGAACTTGCAAGTTCTGGGCACTTTAAAAGCACAGTGCAGCTTCTCCAGGAGCCTCATACATCAGCTCAAACAACTTCCTTCCAGAAGTGTGAACCTCACACCTGATGCTGCTACTTGTCAACAAAAATAATCATTCATCCATTCATTATCCATTCCTTGACCCCTATCTACTGAACACCTAATTGGGTATACAGT